AGTTCCGCGTTTTACCCACCTAGGTTTTTTTGTCCAAGTAGGCCTATGCACGTTATGTGCAGTGTACACGTACTGGCTCCGGTGCCGTAGGAGGGGGCATGTTTATCGCTGCAGAACCAACATTAAAAATCGTCACAATCTTTTAATTTTAATCTGGATAAATGTATTATATTCTCAACAACTCCTCTGATTTTTTTCTTTCCGAAATTCACCCGGGAAGACCTTTTAAAATGAGAGTTCCGCGTTTTACCCACCAAGGTTTTTTTTGTCCAAATAGGCCTATTGCACGGTATGTGCAGTATACGCGTACTGGCTCCGATGCTGTAGGAGGGGGCATATTTAGAGCTGCAGAACCAACATTACAAATCGTCACAATGTTCTAATTTTAATCTGGATAAATGTATTATATTCTCATCAACTCCTGTGATTTTTTTCTTTCCGAAATTCACCCGGGAAGACCTTTTAAAATGAGAGTTCCGCGTTTTACCCACCTAGGTTTTTTTTGTCCAAATAGGCATAGTGCACGGTATGTGCAGTATACGCGTACTGGCTCCGATGCCGTAGGAGGGGGCATATTTAGCGCTGCAGAATCAACATTAAAAATCGTCACAATATTTTAATTTTAATCTGGATAAGTGTATTATATTCTCAACAACTCCTGTGGTTTTTTTCTTTCCGAAATTCACCCGGGAAGACCTTTTAAAATGAGAGTTCCGCGTTTTACCCACCTAGGTTTTTTGTCCAAGTAGGCCTATGCACGTTATGTGCAGTGTACACGTACTGGCTCCGATGCCGTAGAAGGGGGCATCTTTAGCGCTGCAGAACCAACATTAAAAATCGTCACAATCTTTTAATTTTAATCTGCACAAATGTATTATATTCTCAACAACTCCTCTGATTTTTTTCTTTCCAAAATTCACCCGGAAAGATCTTTTAAAATGAGAGTTCCGCGTTTTACCCACCTAGGTTTTTTGTGCAAATAGGTCTATGCACGGTATATGCAGTATACGCGATACTGGCTCCGATGCCGTAGGAGGGGGCATCTTTAGCGCTGCAGAACCAACATTAAAAATCGTCACAATCTTTTAAATTTAATCTGGATAAGTGTATTATATTCTCAACAACTCCTCTGATTTTTTTCTTTCGGAAATTCACCCGGGAAGACCTTTTAAAATGAGAGTTCCGCGTTTTACCCACCTAGGTTTTTTGGGTCCAAGTAGGCCTATGCACGTTATGTGCAGTGTACACGTACTGGCTCCGATGCCGTAGGAGGGGGCATCTTTAGCGCTGCAGAACCAACATTAAAAATAGTCACAATCTTTTAATTTTAATCTGGATAAATGTATTATATTCTCAACAACTCCTCTGATTTTTTTCTTTCCGAAATTCACCCGGGAAGACCTTTTAAAATGAGAGTTCCGCGTTTTACCCACCTAGGTTTTTTTGTCCAAGTAGGCCTATGCACGTTATGTGCAGTGTACACGTACTGGCTCCGATGCCGTAGGAGGGGGCATCTTTAGCGCTGCAGAACCAACATTAAAAATCGTCACAATCTTTTAATTTTAATCTGGATAAATGTATTATATTCTCAACAACTCCTCTGATTTTTTTCTTTCCGAAATTCACCCGGGAAGACCTTTTAAAATGAGAGTTCCGCGTTTTACCCACCTAGGTTTTTTTGTCCAAGTAGGCCTATGCACGTTATGTGCAGTGTACACGTACGTGCTCCGATGCCGTAGGAGGGGGCATCTTTATCGCTGCAGAACCAACATTAAAAATCGTCACAATGTTTTAATTTTAATCTGGATGAATGTATTATATTCTCAACAACTCCTCTGATTTTTTTCTTTCGGAAATTCACCCGGGAAGACCTTTTAAAATGTGAGTTCCGCGTTTTACCCACACATTTTTTTTTCTGCAAATAGGCCTATTGCACGGTATGTGCAGTATACGCGTACGTGCTCCGATGCTGTAGGAGGGGGCATCTTTCTCGCTACCGAACCAACATTAAAAATCATCATAATGTTTTCATTTTAATCGGGATAAGTGTATTATATCCTCAACAAGTACTTTGATTTTTTCTGTCGAAAGTTCAGCCGGGAAGGCCTTATTATAAGAGTTCCGCGTTTTACCGACTCTGGTTTTTGTATACAGTACTCACACCTTATGCATATTGCAAGACTTGTACATGTACAGTGTGATTGGTCCGTTGCTGTGGGAGGGGGCATTTTTATAGCTACAGAACCAACTTCCAATACTTTTGTGATAGAATATGGACTGTAAAACCTCAAACCATGTTATATTTGTATACTGGCGCACCTTACATGATGAAACAGGTTCTAACGTCTGGAATCGGCGTTCCCATGGTAGAGGTCCACGAGGGATCGGTTCAAGATGAGTCGTCAGCAGAGAACTTGGGAGGAATCGTTGAAGTGAAGTCGACTGTGTGCACCAACGAATCGGATTCGAAACATTGACGCGAGAGATTTTTTGAGGATCTTCTTGCGGACACAATTCCAGAGTGTACTTTAATTTTTCCACAGGATGAACCCATACTCTGAAGATACGACAATGCGAGGCCTCATGTGCGACAGTTTGACAATCTTCCTGATGTTGCCAACCCAATGATCCACTTGAAGCGCCTCCCTCCCTACTTCCCATTCCTGAACAGCACGGAGATGGCACATTCTCTTTTCAAGTCTGCAGTTCAGCGGACTCTTGGGTACCTGAACGGCAACAACGTGTCGGAGGCAGATGGGCTGCCCGGCTAGTTTTGATGAACAAACACAAACGCAATATGAAATGGTCAGTTCACTATTAAAGATCCCCACAATAAAAAAAAGTGAAGACATGAAACATTCGTTTAGTGTTTATAATTAGGCTTTATTTGTTGTACCTATTTGATTTTTAATTGAACTAAAATTGATTGCATGAAATCTGCAGTCGAACCATTTTTGCTAAATTGAATGATGATTATGCGTCATCAGAAAGAAGGACGATATGCTAAATGTAACACATTGCTAAATGAATTTGAATTCCTCCGAAGTAATTTTGAGAGACGATAAAAACTGAATAGCCCAAATTGCTTTCATTGTAACGCCCAAAAATAAATTTGCTGCTCATTTGCCGAAATTGACCAGGAAAACCTATAATCGGTGTACATAAGAACATTTGTCTGCTGTGATAAGTCGTGCCTCTCACATTTTTCAAATAAATTCTGATGCAATTTGTTGTAAGTCAGCCCTGTTTTGTTTCAAATCGACAGGACTACACGCGCGTGCATGGTTCTTTAGTACCAGTCGAAATGTGTGGTCCTCATGTTTCTCTATAGGCGATGCTTATCATACTAGTGCGATAAGGAGATGCTGAATAAGAGCGTTGTTATTAAGTAGTTATACGCCATGTATTTTGCTGTGCTTATGCTTACAGGCTGCATCAACTACACGTAATTTTTGTGAGCATAAAAAGTGGGGCTTAACAGCACCGTAATAATAGGCATGCTGGATTCGACCACAACGCAATTACAGACGTCACAACACCGGCTCTCTAAAAAGGCGGCACCATTAGTTGGGTGTCCTTCAGTTGACAATTACATAACGTACTTAACAGCAAACGTGCTTTCCTGTTGGAAAGAAATCATGCAACTTGACAATAGCTAATGTCATTGGCAATATCTCACGAACTACACTGGATAATGACCACATAGAGGGAGATATCGCGTCTTGTTCGAGAGCCACGTGCATGGCGTGGGGAGGACGTCCACCCTTTCAACCTGCAACCTTTTCCATCATTTACAGTTGTACATGTACTGCTTTTGAAACAGAAGATGCTCTGTTCAAGAGGCCAATCAGCAGTTTTGAAGCCCATTTCAAATTATGGGCAATGAATGTTGTAGCTTTTTGCAACATTTGATTAAATTTCATTTGGTAGCCTTTGTACCGATTATTTGAAGAATAAACCGCAATGCTTTTTGACAACTAAAATTGAAATACTGCTAATTGCCCTTTCGTCAAATTCATGACTCATCAGTTGAACTTGCATCTTTTCCTTTTGTTATGCCACACACTAATTTTTAACCGTAGAATCAAGTACCTAACCAATTAAAACCACCCCCACACACAAAAAACGTGTACAGTATACATGTCTTTCTCCAAACGTGAGGAGGAAATAAAATGACCAAAAATGACATGAATTCGAAGGTAATGAAATCCGGACATTCTTTCACTTTTCAACCGAAATCCTCCAAGGTCTGAGATTAGAAAATGCAGATTTTCGGATACAAAACGGTGACTCGAACTACACTGCGATGATTCCTCGCGGATAACATAAGGAGCTGAAACCGACGGCGTGTTCCACACCTAAATAAAAATACTGTGCAAGAAATGTGCCATTACACTTTTAGCCCTGAAGCTTAAACAATGCACGCACCTTATAACAGTGGGCGGGGTTTTTTTTGGGGGGGGGGGTGGGGGTGGTTGGCTTGTGGTTGGGTTGGGTGGAAGAGAACACGGGCAAGCACGAGCATGGTTCCTCGGCACGGATGTGCTGAATTACATGGTTTTTTTAATCTAAAGATTAAGAGCTTTTTGTTGATTAAAGCACAGTACAGGTACCGTGAATGTGTTGTTATTATGTCCGCACTCAGTATCCTCGTATTTGAATTGGTCAATAGGCCGTGAGCAATGACGCCAACCTTTAATCGGCTGTCAAGCAGCGCTGCGGTTTTAAGAACGCCGGGTACTGATGCTTTTTTTGTTTTGCAGTGTCCTGGTCTGGCACGCCGGCACCTATCATTGTTTACTTCCATTGACTGTTGATCGTCTTTTCCAGGAAACTGTGAAAGCATTGTTCTGATCACAAAGGAAGAATGTGTTAAGTTCGCATTCGTTCAATCAGCCGCCACAAACAATTTAATGCAACCTAAAATCCCGCTTCCCTCAATTTGTTTAGTAGTTGCAGCGTAACACTTCAAAAAAAGGTTAGAAGCGACTCTTTGAAAAATCATTTCAATACTTTATTGATGGAAGAATTCCCTATTCATATTACACAGGAAAATGAAATCTTCAGCGTATAATGGGAAAACCATCCATTAAATACATAACCGCTCCCGTTTTACTTATTAATGAAGGTATAAGGAAGAGTTTATGGTCCTTTTGTCAATAGAAAGTGTACTGTTGGAAGGAGCAGTCACAATTTACCAACACCTACCGTGTGTCTACTTATGCAAGTTGCTTGAAGTATTATTTGTTATTGAAGTTTTCATGCTAATCAAATCTGTTTCCATTCCTAATTGTTTCTGTCCTGTGCCTTTTTTTAATTGGAAAAGAAAATACATGCACGAATTCTCTTATTGGAAGTTATCATTGGGGTGTGGAGGTGGGGTTGTTAATGTGAAACCTTTCATTCAAGTATAAATTAAGTAGCTGTCACAACAAGTTACATAAAACGCGTTACTATAGGCGATGTCGTACTGTTTCTGTCAATGGGTATGAAGGTGTCAGATATATCCCTGTGCCTTTCGTTATGATCATGGCAACACTGACATTTAAGATATACCATAGCGAATGCATACATCTCTCAGCTGACGAATATAAATTTTCATTCCATCCTCATTAAGGTGACATCCATCCGCTAGGTATTTAGGAAAGTTGATTCTTCTCTGTGGAAAAAGATGCACGTGTGGGTTATTGCACACAAGAGCTGCATTGAGCAATCTGTTCAGCCGGCGAACCCGATGGTTGAAGGTTTCAATAGGTACCTGGTTTGGCCTCATCATTTTTGACCTTTGTATCACTGAAAAGAATACTATCTGCTTCGGGGTGATGTTGTGTTCCTCCAATTCGCGGATAAACCTCAATGTGTTGTCAACTAACACCGTTGGTGTGCAATCCCAACTGCACAGATCATTTGTGCCAAGGTCGATACAAAGTAAATCAATTCTATCCATGGTACGCATTCTACTCAGGTAGTGGTTGAGATTGCCAAAGATGCGATCGTAGGTGAGACCTGGGTGTCCCTCAGTGGATACATAGTAATGTTGAGGAAGTCTCAAAACATTTTCAACAGGCAGGCCGCGCCGCTGTGCTAGTCGAGTTAGCCTGGATGGAAAGGAATGACCAAATATATGGACATGCACCGATCGCGTAGCAGACATCATGAAAACTGTAAGAAGACACAAAATTGACGCCATGAGTCTTTAAAAGAAACAACTTTGGATTTTGTGGCCTGAAAATGGGGGAGTAAGTTAAGAAGACACCAACAAATAACAAGAAAACAAGGTATAAGTTTCCGACAATACGGGTTTGGCATCACCATGGCATCACATAGTTCACGACCAAAAAAAAATTAAATGAATGTTAATTGTTATTTACATGTACATGGTATTTTAAAACATTGTTTTAAAAATGCTTCTGGAATGACAAGTTTGCCGAACGTCAGTTGTCCATTTGTCAGGGCTGAAAGCAAGTCTTTAATTTTCAAATGGTCAACTTTGTAAAACGCAAGTTGGCCAAGGGACGAGTTCACATAATGTGTAGTACAAAGCAGACAATCATCTGCACTGTTGATATCCAGACAATACAAAAGACCTGAGAAATACAGGGCATCAGTGCAGAATCCAGAAAAACTCGAAACGTGTTTGTACACCGAAACAAGTAAATATTAATCCTGAAGTAACATATTAAATCGAATGATGTACATACCCGCTGAGAAAAAGACGTATGTTCCTCAGAAAGCCTGGCCCGCTGTAGCACCCGTGAGATCCACAGTCCTTGGCGCTTTTCGGATTGCTTCTGGGCCGGCTGAGGAAGCCACTTCGCAACATGTGGCGTTGTTTGTTTATAATGATTTACCCCTATTTTGAAATGGTGCAGTCCTAAAAGTTAAGCCCAATAGCATAAGGTGCATCATCCCAAGGAGCTTTAAAACACAGTCTTTTGGGTCCTCTATAATGATATACATGTACATGTAATCAACAAGCAGCAGCCAGCTCTTGGGGCAGCAGTGCGTTACATAATCGCTCTTCCTTTATCAAGCAGTCAACAGTTTTTGTGGTAGTTGTGGTTGCATTTGCAGCAGCAGTAAAAAGCCATGGTTGAGCAATTTTGCCCAATCTAGAGTTAATAACAATGGTAGGTCAGGTGTTTAAACAAGGGTAACCAGGGAGTTGTTTTGCCAACAGTGAAAAGGCAGTCGTGTGATATGGGTGTGTGTATAGTTTGAACTGGAATGGGAGAGGGATGATCAAGGCGATCAGATCAGACCAGTTAGCGATAGAGAGTAGATGTGATTTTGAAGTATAGTGTGATCTCCTGTATGGTGTGTGTCATCGCTTGAACCTAAGCCACCAGGCATAGTTACAGCTATAGCAGGCAATTGTCAGCGATTCCTAAACGCCTATTTGAGGCAGTTGAAGTTTGGGCTTGATCTCCAAGGCCCCAGTGAGCAATATTGTGCTCAGAAAACACACCAAGGAAAACTCCATGATTTTGAGATACCACACAACCGTCATTTTCTTTATGAAGCAATTCAAAGATCCCTCTTGTATATTGTAACTTATCGGCTTGAGAATAAAGTGCATTTTTGTCTGAAGTTTAATTTGAAGGATAATTGGCATGAAGAACTATTGCTTAAGATTACTTTCATTTTCTGAAATTGATTGATAGTTGAAGATTGGATTGATGTTTGAAAATATTTGAATTATGAACTATGATATTTGATGTAGATACTGAAGTAACGTTTTCGAATTTGAAGAAAACAGTGCTCAGACAACTGGTCCATTTATGGCAAGGAAATATAATGTGAATTATGTTCATGTAAGGAGATTACCAGTGTTACTTGATTTGTAAACGCCACACTGATATCAATATAAGATGTTTGTTGTGAGACAAACTTTGAATACATGTGTTTTTGAAATAGATGGCTGCCCGTTGATGAAGCAGCACCCGAGATGAAGATGTAGATCAGTCAAGGCGTTAGAGACATGATTCGGCTGTAGGACACCCATCCCATGAGGAGGTGTATCCAAGGATCAACCGGCATCCGACGTTCCAAATTGCTACTCCCCGTTAGGATATCCTTACAGTCAATACTGTGTTTTTAATTGGACTGTGACTATCTGAGTTTAATGTAATTTGTGGTACACGTAAGGAACACACAATAAGAAAATAATAATTTGTAAGTTGGATATAGTTGAGAAGGAAAGAATATACAGGTAGTTAAGAAGTTTTAAATAACTGTAAGTTGTTTTGTGAATAGACCAGAAGTAGTAAAAGAGACTATTCTGTTTGGTGTAGTTCTTTCGTTGTTTTGTCAAAGTAATAGTTGTATACATATTTGGACACATTTCATGAAAAATCCTGACATTGTTGTTTTAACTACCCACGTGACACTTAACATGTCCACACACTTGGTTCTGCAAACAGCATGGTTCGGCCAATCTTCAGTTTTGTCTTGAACGGTTTCGCACATTCGCCCAAACATAATCATCATTACCACCGGCTGTAATACTGTTCTGTGAGTAATTAACATTTACGTTACCCGAGAGCAATCACTGTGTTGTGAATAATTGAATTTCCGATTGCACAATTATGATTCCATAACACTGAGTGTCTTGAAAGGGAAGAAATAACATTTGCAAACATTAAAAAAAAAAAAAAAAAATGATCCAATCAAGAAATACCTTACTGAATTGTTATGGACCGACAGTCTAAATCATCATGTAAAATCGGTGCTCCTGGTGTGCTGATATATTCACGAAACAATGTATTTTTCCAACGCTCGTTAGAGACGACTTTATTTTTGAGGAAATGTTATTAATTGCTGAAATGTAGTTCTTCTGACTTTTCTTTTTAATTGATTAGCATACACACCTGTCAAGGGTTACAAGCCTGCTAGACTGATTGTCTGACCTTACAATTCCCCAAAGTGTATTCATCGCTCCGTTTCATCTCAACTTAAGTGGGGTCAGGGAACCAGATTCCAAGAATATGATAGGCTTTCTTGGTTTTTCCAGCATGTACAACTACAAGCCCAACACGTAAAAATGTCAGTTGAACAATAGTTTCTTTAATGTACTAATCCTACAAATCCATTCATTTTCGAAAATTTCAGCAAAAGCAAATGTCAAAAGAGCAATACAGGCATTGTCTGATCTTTGAAGTAGTCGTTTCCTAAAAGAGGCACAGAATTTGTTTTTCTTGCTTTGCGGTTATTCAAACATATCTCTGGACCAAAAAAAAACAACAATCTGAATTACATAAAAGGTATTCTCAAGCTACATCTGTAACCTTCAAGATCGTGTCAACATTTGCAGTAAATTCCGGTTGTAAATTGTCTGAAATGGCGGGGTTTACATGGACCCTTATTCTCATAACTTCCTGTATAGTGTTAAAAACATAATTGCCTCAATAGTCAAAGGTTGTTTAGGTCAACTATAGAAGTTTACTATTTTGTTTTAATGAGCTTGCAGAGACATGTACGTGTGTGGTTTATGTTTTATACAAGGATTTCATATCCATTTTCTTTACTTGTCAAAGAATAGGAGATACTCATCGCCAGAAGACTGTTTATGTGTTCAACGCCTGTTTACATTTTCGCCCTTGATAAAGTAGATGTTGCTCGAAGAGATCATACATGGTGTAATCCAAAAAGTTGGTCACATTCAATACCTTATTGTGTAAACAATATACTTATATATGCCCGATCCCATACAAAGATCAGTCAGGGAACCGTCCTTATTCGCTGAAGTTCGGCAAAGAACGATGAGCCATGAACAGTTTAACTTCGTGAAAATCAGATGAACCGAAGCCTGCTTGTAATTGTAAGCAAACAGAATTTTATTTTCTTAACAGATAGCGCTTCCTTTTTTGGCTAGAAAGATGCCTTTTTCGGGGATGCTTTCTATGCTGAGACCAAGATTTATAATCCCACATGCATTTCCTAACCGAAAAGAGCAACTGTTACGGTAGGGCCTCAACTCTGCCAACAAACTCTTAATAATAACGATGCACAAATACTTTAACATTTTAACAATTTTACGGGGTTCCATATTTTCAACTACAGAGACATTCTAATCAGAAAAAACACTGTTTGAAAGTTTATTTCTTTAAAACACCTTGCACTTTACAGACTAACCATATGTGTGTGGAATTTCATTTTGCGTTACTTCACTTCATTGGTTATATGTTTGACACAGAGAAAAGAGAATAAGAAATGTTTAAAATTATAAACTAGGGCCACCGCGTCAGTACCCAAACCGCAGTAGGGAGATACGTCTGTCCCGTCAGCAGGGGATAACTAATTACCTAAGCCTACTCCCCGCTGACATCGGTAATGTCTTGACCTTTTCAGGAGACAGACGCCTCTAACCCTGGCTACCTAATTAATGACCTAACTACCCAACGCAGTGACCCTAGACAGATAGATTATGCAGACCAAAATCGAAAGATGCTTGGAAAATATCAGAAGAATGATACTTGGCCAAAAGGAATGGGTTTAAAGATGCCTGAGAACTTGGCACTTAAGACTGGACACCACCACCACAAATACTCTAAAGTACAGTTTATTGAAGGTTGTTCCAAGTTGTAATTGCTGTGCGCAGAAAGCTTCCGTCTAAAGGTGTCAGTTTTGGCATGAGGTAACGTAATATGTTACTTGTCGAAATAGCCAAGGTTTTTAATTTTTTTGGGGGGGGGAATTCATCAGTTCAATGGCTTTCGTGGCTGCATGGCCACATGATTAGAAACATACATATACAATTGTATGCCCGTTTCTTTTTTCACATTGATTGTGGAGGCTAATCATCCTTACCGGCAGCTGAGTGCGAATTGTGAAGGACGCGGCTACAGCGTGTTTGAGCGCTGACACGCAAAGGTGCCATTGGCACCAGCCACATCCACCCATATTCTGACCACAGCCTGAGATCGAAGTGTTTAATTCTTCCGGAGGAAGGAAAACCGGAGGGTCCGATAAAAACACTCGTGGCACAGGAGAGAAGTAACGCAAAACTCTACTCTCAGTCATGTGGTCCGGCTGGGATTGTAACCGGGGCCACAGTGTACCTTGACGGTGGTAGTAGTCAAAAGTTCATAGAAGCGCTCCTTTTCATCATCCGGATTTGTGAGGGTTGGAGCATATGCACAGATTAGGGTGGCGAATCGATTTAATCCAATTGGCATCCTCAGTGACATAATACGCTCCGAGACAACAGTAGGTAGCGAGGATAGTTGCTTGACAAGATGGTTTGAGACAGCAAAGGCCACACCTGCTTCACGCCTGGTCCCCTGCTCTTTCCCTATCCAGTAAAAGGTGTGAGTTTTCTATTGTAATTCACCTTGCCCTGCTAATCTAGGTTCTTGGAGGGCAGCAATGTCAATGCCAAGCCTCTGTAATTCCTTGGCAACAAGCGCAATTCTTTTTTGAGGTATGTCACTATTTTGGAGGCCTAAGAGAGTTTGAACTTTCCACGTCGCAATTGTTAGTTTGAGATTTCGCTCATTCATTCGTTCTTGATTTTACCGCTGTGATAGAGACCCACCATCCGCGGTGAACTGGCCAGGTTAATGCAGACAAGCAATTTTTTTACCCCACCTTTTAAACGGGCGTCCCTGTGCAGGGCGGGCAGTGCCTCCCTTAATAGGGCTGCCCGGTCGATTCTGCAGCTGTTTTGCGCTGTCGTTGTCCTGCTCCAGCACACGACCATCACACACGAGCCGCCTGTGTGTAGAGCTCCAGCTATGGCTGCCAACTGCTGAAGTCTGCCACTTCACCTTCACTCCATCGCCACAGGACTTTTAAGACCATCGCCTGCACTAAAGGTTGATGCCTTATCCCTCGTGCATTTGAAAAGACATCCTCCGGGCTCCACGTCACCTGATCCGATGGAGAACCTAGGTACGACAACTTGGGAGACGTTAAGCTGGCCCGCGGTATCTCGCTAACTGAGATGGTTGACCACTGCCGTTGTCTTAAATAAAGATGACCATCCGCCAGACGTCATGACATAGTGCCGTAATACACACTTTGTTGGTATCCGCCGCCATAATCGCTCGTTGTCCCGCTGCCGACAACGACCGTAAACCTGGTTAGGGGGGCTAAGCAGGTACTACACCTTGCCCAAGGGTGACCCAGAAACTATGCAAGGCAGTGGTGTTTCATGTCCACTGAGGTCTGAACCCACTGAGGTCTGAATCC